CATCTCACCCCAACAAGGCTAGCATTAATCCAAAAAACACAAAATAATAAATGTTGGAGAGGTTGTGGAGAGACTGGAACACTTATGCTTTGCTGGTGGGAATGTAAAATGGTACAACCACTTTGGAAATCGATTTGGCGCTTCCTTAAAAATCTAGAAATAGAAGTAACACACGATCCAGCAATCCCGCTCCTTGAAATATATCCTACAGAAATAAGAGCCATTACATGAATAGATCTATGCACACCCATGTTCATTGCACCACTGTTCACAATAGCAAAAAAATAGAAACAACCTAGGTGACCATCAATGGACGAATGGATAAACAAATTATGGTATATTCACACAATGGAATACTACGCAACAATAAAGAACAACAATGAATTTGTGAAACATCTTATAACATGGAGGAATCTGGAAGGCATTATGCTGAGTGAATTTAGTAAGTCACAAAAGGGCAAATACTATATAAGACCACTATTACAAGAACTCAAGAAAAGGTTTAAAGGCAGAAGAAAACATTCTTTAATGGTTGCAAGGGTGGGGAAGGAGGTAGAGGGGTATTCACTAACTAGATAGTAGACAAGAATTATCTTAGGTGAAAGGAAGGACATCACACACTACAGGGGAAGTCAACACAACCGGACTAAACCAAAGCTAAGATTACAACCAAACACTTTGAGGGACAGAGTAGCAGGGGTAGGGGTCTGGGGACCATGCTTTCAGCGGACATCTAGGTCAATTGGCGTAACAAAGTTTGTTAAGAAAATGTTCTGCATCTTACTTTGGTGAGTGGCATCTGGGGTCTTAAAAGCTAGTAAGCGGCCATCTAAGATGCATCATTTGGTCCTAATCCACCTGGAGTAAAGGAGAATGAAGAACACCAAAGACACAAGGAAAATATTAACCCAAGAGACAGAAAGGGCTACATAAACCAGAGACTGCATCAGCCTGACACCAGAAGAACTAGATGGTGCCCAACTACCACCAATGACCGCCCTGACAGGGACCACAACAGAGAGTCCCTGATGGAGCAGGAGAAAAGTGGTGTGCAGAACTCAAATTCTAGTAAAAAGACCAGACTTAATGGTCTGACTGAGACTGGAGGAACCCCAGAAAGCATGGCCCCCAGACTCTCTGTCAACCCAGAACTAAAACCATTCCCAAGGCCAACTCTTCAGACAAAGATTAGTCTGGTCAATGGGACATAAAATGATACTCTTGAAAAGTGTGCTTCTTAGCTCAAGTAGATACATGAGGCTAAATCGGCAGCTCCTGTCCAGAGGTGAGAAGAGAAGGCAGAGAGGGTCAGGAGCTGGTTGAATAGACCCAGGAAATCAGGGCTGGAAAGGAGGAGTGTGCTGTCACAGTCTAGGGAGAGCAATTAGGGTCACATAACAATATATGTATAAATTTTTGTATAAAAGACTAATGTGAATTGTAAACTTTCACTTGAAGTACAATAAAATAAAAAATTTTTTTAAATGAAATAATATATGTAAAGTGAATAGCAGTGTTTGGCACACGGTAAATGCTCAATAAGGCTGATTTTTCAGAAGTGTATTGCCAGGCCTTTCTTTTGAGGCACCTCTGGGCTGACTTGATCTTCCAACATTTGGATTAGCAGCCTAGCGTGTTAAACATTTGTACCACCCAGAAAATCTGATTATAACATAACACATGCCAATTATGAAGCACTTAGGTAATAAAGTATAAAAAAGAAAATAAAAATCCTCATAATTCTACCACTCAGGGGTAACTACTCTTAATACTTATATTCATCCAGTTCTTTCCTATGTGTTTGTGTGTGCATGTATGTATATATATTCTCTTTTCAAACTAGGTTTAATAAGTTTGTTCTAGAAAAAAAAATATATATATATATCTGATTGTATTATATATATCAGTTTGTAATCTACTTTTTCCGTTGATATCATTTTTCCTTATCATCATTTTTAATAGCTATAAAATATCCCATTATATGGAAGAGTCATAATTCATTTAACTAATCTATCACTATTAGAAATTTAGATTGTGACTAATTTTTAATTGTAAATAAAATAATGTGTCTGTCCTCTGATAACATTCTCCTACAGTGGCACCAGCTTTGCTGACAAAATTAAAACATTTCACTTGGTGTCTAGGTTTTCAAAGGATGTTGGGATTCTCCAGAGTATCTCATCTGCCTCTTCTGATTTAGCTAATAGGCCTACCTACTGTATCAGTGACTAACAGGTGATTAGAATTAGAATTGCCAGCTACCTGGAACCATGGTTTGTGCTTGTCATTTTCCTGAGACACACGATAAAGATTTAGTCCATATTTGAAAGTCTAAACTAAAAACTAGGATCATCATGAGCTATGACAGTCAAGGTCGTTTAATTCAAGGAGATATTGTCAATCCAGATAACTTTTTAATACAAAAGTGTTTATAGGGAAAATATATAATTCAGGGCTCAGTTTCTTAGCCTCAAGAGTGAGAGAAGGAGAAAAATAGCTTTAGTGTGGGTAACAAATTGCCAAAACTCTTCTTGCTTTTCAGACCTTGATTTTTTTATATGAGATTGCGTTTGATTAGAAACAGTAACCTATCAACAGGAGCATGACACACAGCAACTAACTCTCCTCCTTAGAATATCATATCTAGTGTTGCTATCTTCATTCTAAGGAAGATTTAAAAAAGGCCCAGATAAAGAAAATCATTAGAATCTAACGGAAAAGCTTCAAAGCCCTACAAGCTACCTTTTGAAGGCAGTGGTTGTTGAACCTGGCACAGAGTAGGCACTCAATGTTTGCTGAATAGATGCAGTAAGGAAACAGACAACTGGCCATGTGATTTTAGGGGTGGGAGTCATGTAAGCTAATACCTCCATTTTTTTTATTTGTAAACTCTACCACCTTCATCAGCTATTCATTCTTACCCTCTTTCCACAGATAACTGACTCCTCTTCCATTAAAAAAGCCTTCAAATGGACTGAAAGTCTAAGAAAAAATATTGTAATAATAATCAGATATTGCAACAAGTTATAGAGGGGACTTGTGGAAACCATATCCTCAAAGATCTCTGAAAATAGTGCAACCAAGGATAGCACAGGGATCCTATTGGTATAATAGCTCTTCCAAAAAAAGGAAGCTAGGCCAGATTAACTGTCCAGTTCTTCTCCAACTCTGGAAGAAAATTAAGTAGCACTTCTGCATTTTAGAAATTGAACTGGTGCTTTCTCTAAAACAAAGAAGATACAATTGTAGCTTGGGACTTGCTACCTACTGCTTGAATAAGGGTGTTATATGGTATGAAATCAGGCAATAACAATCAAGCAACATTAGTGTGCCTACTTTGTACTAAGCATGACCCGGGAGACAGAACACTCAGTGGAATGAGTCATAGGGTTGAGATAACAAACCAGTTCTCTTGGTCTTATGTTCCTTCTTGCCACTTCTGGCAAAAACTAAACCATGGAAACAACTGCACTGTCTCGATTCCTTCTGATATTGACCTAGAATCTCACTTTTTCTTTGGCATGATCTGTCACTGTTCACTGTTCGGTACTGTCTAGTGTTCAGTCAGTTCCATTCAATCTTTAACTATCTGCTATTTGTCAGGCACTTTACTAAGCCTTCTGGATACTGAAAATGAGCAGGTCTGCCCTCAAGTCTCCCAACTGAGAAATACTTTAAAACGTGTAAAAGCTATGGCCACAGTTCCCTTCATGTAGAATTCTGAGCCTGATTGATGGATCAGAAACTGAAGCCACACTGATGCGGCATCTTCCAATGACACACCTAATAGGTGGCACAAAAGGACAAATGCTTGCTAATATTTTCCATGGACCCACCATTAGGATATCAACTCAATTCAATGAGAAGCGGTACTGACATTTCAGGTTTTTAGAAGGAAGAAAACCTGTGTAACTATGACCCATAGTATGCCTCTTCCTTAGGGAAAAAAACTTTTCAACTTCAAAAACAAATTGTTATCCAGTTACACATTTTTAAAGTGCTGTGAAAATCAAAGATGGGAATAGGAGAGGGTGAGTTCTTTGTTGTTTTTGGCCGTTTTGTATTTAATTATACTAAAAAAGAAAGAATGTTTTAAATAAAACCTCACTTTTTTTTCAGCTATATTCAATAATTTTAAGAGCTAAGACATGATAATCTGTAATTTTTTTAAATTAGAAGATTAGAAGAAATAAAATCTAGTACAGGACAGGGACAAGTAATAGTAACACAGATATGCAGACTCTAATTCTTTTCGCAACCAATATGTGAGATGGAAATCCTATTTTTTTTTTCACTATCTATACCTATTATTTTTGCTACAAATGTAGCAAATAAACCTCTAATTCCAATTTCAGGAGCATTGCCATAGTATGATAGCATTTCTTCCAAGGCAAAGTTTAACTGAATTCTAAAACAGGTGCAACAGTGATAATAGTGAGCAGTGCCATTTCTCCAAAGCAGTGACTGCATGTTGGAAACTGGCCTCTTACCTTCAAAGAACTGCTGCAGGGCCTCATTTTCACCCGCCACATCCATGGTACTGTGGTCCTAGCAATACTTCCTCATAGAACAAGGATATCAGATCTCAGGAAGTGCCGTCCTCTCAACTCGAAGACTATGAATGCTCTTGAAAAAACTTCATTTTCTTTTTACTGGAGTGCAGCCTATCTTCGGACATCGATTTGTGCCCAGGAAGACGATTAAGTTCTCAAAATGTGACTATAAAATTAGGAAGATATGTAATCATGGAGGAAAAAATTTTTCATGGAGAGAAGTGGAAGCAAAGCCATCTAAATGCAGGGAAATGTTTCTACTCTGCCTATCGTTTTGTTTTAAAGACCTTTGTCCTTAGTGACACATGTAATTACATAAATGGGCAATAAATATACTCTTATCTCTTATTTGTCCCTTTACACCAATATATTTATATCTTTGCCTCTATCAGCCAGATCCATTTAGCCACAATTAAGTAAAAGATAGTCTGTTTTTTTTAAACTTAGAGAAAGGGTGCAAATCAATATAGTTCACTTGTATGGAAACCTACAGTAGCAAATAATTTTAAAAACCTGATAATGAAAAGTTAGGATTTGTTAAATATAACCAAATTTACTTACAATGAAAACTTACACTCCTGAATACACACCTAGTCTATTTCCACCATAGTTTGCTTTCATTAAAAATAGAGACCATAAAGTATAAGAAGTCCTAAAAAGCAACAAATCTATATTTAAAAAAACCAAACCTGTTGCTGTCAATTCCGACTCATAGTGACCTTATAGGACAGAGTAGAACTGCCTCAAAGGGTTTCCAAGGAGCAGCTGTGGACTCAAACCACCGACCTTTTGGTTAGCAGCCAAGCTCTTAACTACTGTGCCACCAGGGCTTCCAAATCTATATTACTGATTTAATAATTCTTACAACCAAGTACATGATTCACTACTAATTGGTTTCACTCCTAAATAAAAAGCTATACCTAAATAGATGTTTTGTTTTCGCTTATTGTTCTTGTGTGCCGTCGAGTTAATTCCAACTCATAGCGATCATATAGGACAGAGTAGAACTGACCCACACGGTTTCCTAGGCTGCAATCTTTATGGAAGCAGATTGCCAGATCTTTCTTCCTACAGATTGGCTGGTGAGTTGGAACCACCAACATTTTGATTAGCAGCCGAGTGCTTAAACATTGCACCACCAACTATTAACTTATTAATTAACTTAATAATTGCCAATTAAACTATTGAGCTTCTTCTTTTTCTCTTTTTGACTTTTTTTTTTTATTTAAGTTTTTAACCTACAGAAACATTGAAAGACTAGTACCATGGAATACCCAGATTTACTAATTATTAATGTTTTACAGGACATGGAATGAGAGGTATCATTGCTGATGTCAGATGGATCCTGGCTGAAAGCAGAGAATACCAGAAAGATGTTTATCTGAGTTTTATGAACTATGCAAAGGCATTCTACTGTGTGGATCATAACAAATTATAGATAATATTGTGAAGAATGGAAATTCCAGAACACTTGATTGTGCTGATGAAGAACCTGTACACAGAACAAGAGGCAGTCATTTGAACAGAACAAGGGGCTACTGTATGGTTTAAAGTCAGGAAAAGTGTGTGTCAGGGTTATATCCTTTCACCGTACTTATTCAATTGGTATGCGAAGCAAATAATCTGAGAAGTTGGACTATATGAAGAAGAATGCAGCATCAGGATTGGAGGAAGACTCATTAACAACCTGTGATATGCAGATGACACAACATTGCTTGTTGAAAGCGAAGAAGACTTGAAGCACTTACGGATGAAGGTCAAAAATTACAGCCTTCAGTAGGATTTACACCTCAACATAAAGAAAACAAAAATCCTCACAACTAGACCAATAGGCAATATCATGATAAATGGAGAAAATATTGAAAATGTCAAGGATTTCGTTTTACTTGGATCCATAATCAATGCCCATGGAAGCAGCAGTCAAACCAAAAGACCTATCGCACTGGGCAAATCTGCTGCAAAAAACTTCCTTAAAGTGTTAAAAAGCAAAGATGTCACTTTAAGGACTAAGGTGTGCCTCACTCAAGCCATGGTATTTTCAATTGCCTCATATGCATGTGAAAGATGGACAATGAATAAGGAAGACCAAAGAAAAACTGATGCCTTTGAATTATGGTGTTAGCAAAGAATATTGAATATATCATGAACTGCCAGAAGAATGAACAGATCTGTCTTGGAAGAAATACAGCCAGAATGTTCCTTAGAAGCAAGGATGGTGAGACTTCATCTCACGAGCTTTGGGCATGTTATCAGGGGCAACCAGTCCCTGGAGAAGAACATCATGCTTGGTAGAGGGTCAGCGAAAAAAGAGCAAGACCCTCAACAAGATGGATTGACACAGTTGCTGCAACACTAGGCTCAAGCATAGCAATGATTGTGAGGATGGTGCAGGACTGGACAGTGTTTCATTCTGTTTTACATAGGGTCGCTTAAGTCGGAACCTAACATGACTCAATGGCACCTAACAACACAATATTTTGCACTTTTGCCTTTTCTTTCTTGATATGTAAATATACTTTTATTTTGGCTGAACTATTCCAAAGTAAGTCGCTGACATTTCACCCCAAAATAATTCAGTATGTCTTCTAATGATAAGGACATTCTCCCACATAATCATGATATTGTTACTATAACTAAGAAATGTAATATTAAATTAATGTATCTGTCTTAGTTATCTAGTGCTGCTATAGCAGAAATAACACAAGTGAATGGCTTTAACAAAGAGAAATTTATTCTCTCACAGTCTAGTAGGCTACAAGTCCAAATTCAGGGTGTCAGCTCCAGGGTAAGGCTTTCTCTCTCTGTCGGTTCTGGAGAAAGGTCCTTGTGATGCATCAGTCTTCCTTTGGTCTGGAAGCATCTCAGCGCAGGAACCTCAGGTCCAAAGGACGCGCTCTGCTCCCAGCACTGCTTTCTTGGTGGTATGAGGTCCCCATGTCTCTCTGCTCAATTCTCTTTTATATCTCAAAAGAGACTGGCTGAAGACACTACCTAATCTTGTAGACCTCATCAGTATAACTGCCACTAATCCATCTTGTTACATCATAGTGATATCATTTACAACACATAGGGAAATCACATCAGATGATAAAATGGTAGACAATCATACAATACTGGGAATCATGACGCAGCCAAGTTGACAGATACTTTAGGGGGATACAGTTCAATCCATGACAGTATCATCATATGCAATTCCTACTATTGTCCTCAACATACCTTTCACAACTTTTTTTTCCTCATGAAGAACCCAATGAATATTCATGCATTGCCTTTGGTTATGTCTTTTTAAAATATAGAACAGTCCCTTGCCATTTTGTTTTTCATGACACTGACATTTTTTAACAGTCCAAGCTCATGGTCTTGTAGAATGTCCCACATTCTAAATTTGTCTGATTACTTAATTACTATTAGAATTGGTACATAGGTGAAGTGGTATACTTCCAAATAAAACATACAGACTGCTCCTGGAAATTGAGCACACTAAATTTAGCTTGGAGAAAAAAAAGAGGTTTAGAGTCCTGTAAAGGTCATATTGTGCCCTGGGTCTGTAAGGACAAATCGTCAAAGAAAGTTGCTTAAAGAAATAAATTTTTCAATTTGTTTTAATTCAGCTTGGGCTAAACTCTCTGCTTAGTGTGAAAATACAATGATGAGTAAGTAATGGTCCTGCCCTTCACAGACTTGAATCTAGGGAATGAGAAAAACATAATTAACTATATCTCAAGGCAGACTCTGCCAAGAAGTAAGGAAAATGTGCCCAGAGAACAGAGGAAGGAAAGATTAGTTTAATGTGGGAGGATCTGGAAAAGCTTTATAAAGATCTTGGATTTGAAGAGATTTAAACAATGGGTATGTCTTTAAACAGATGAGCAATGGCTTTAAAGGGAGACAGCACAGGTGCAGAGACTGTTACACGGTGTGCCTGGTAGAAAGAGAAAAGAGCAAAAAACAGGCTGAAAAAAAATTGTAGATTTTGAACTTTAGGCTAAATCTGAATTTTATTCTATGCATATTCATTCTATCTATTGATGGTTTCTGTTTGGATCAGGGAGGGGCATGATATAATTAAATGTAACTCAGAAAGATAAGTGTTGGAATGAATTGGTTGGAGCAGTAACTAAAGTTAGACCAATCAAAAAGCTATTGCAAGAATTAGGGCAGATTACCCAATAAGCAAGATAAGTACAGTGCTTACCTTGCCTACCAGATCATCTGTAGTGAAAAATTTCCCATTTTTCCACCACATCAAAGATTCTGCTTCCAGGTATGGCTGGCATCCTTCTCTCTCCCAAACCCACAGCACTTCCTACAGAATCGAAGCCTCTTTTCAAATTTACAATCCCTGACAGGGTGGATGACCCAGTAAGCCAAGGTAAGCACGGTTTCACTACAGATTAGTAAGTAAGCACAAGTAAGCTCGTGCTTACCTTGCTTATTATATAATCCGCCCCTGGCAAGAATCCAGGTAGGTAGTAATAAGGCCTGAAGTACGATGATATAGAACAAAGAGAAATTGGTTACTGATTGCATATGGGGAGCAAGGAGGAAGTCAAACATGATTTTTGAAAGGATTTATATGCCTTGAAGTAAAATATGAACTAAGATGTCAAAACATGTAGCCTATGGCTAAATCTAGACTCCAAGGGAAGCTTCTAGCCTAGTTTTGTGGAAGTGGTTGGAAGTAGGTTATTACACTATATCCACTGCCAAATGATGATTCTGGATTCTATCCACCAGTTCACCCAGAGACTTCAATTCTCATCAGCAAAGTAATGTGTGATAAAAGTGAGAGGAAACATTATAAAGAAAAAAATCAGGTTCCATTTAATGGGTTGAGAAATTAGAGTCGGGGTCCCAAGATCAAATACTTACAGGACTGGGCAGATAATGAGTAAAACGGGCCAAAATAAGCAAAAATCAATCATGCATGCATAAAGATAACCGGCAACTAACTTTTAGCCTTGGTGTCAGGGGGATAGGAAGGGGTGGCAGGGCAAAGACCAAACCTGAGGGCTCATGCCCTGCTAAAGGCTGTAGCCGCTCAGCGGGTATAGTCACTCAGCTTCATCCATCCAAGTGTTGCCATTCAGGAATGTGGGCTCAGTGTTGTCAAACTGGCCAATCTTACAGACAAGATGTAAATGCTGATTTCAATTTTAAATCTCATTTTTAAATGTTGGTAACTAACTTGCTTAAAAACAAACCAACAAAAAATCTAAAATATTGTCATGGTCAAATAGCACACATGTGAAAAAAACACAATTTGGCCTAGGCCTTCAGGTTACAACCTCTGAGCTAGAGGCTAAAGTATTAACAACCAGTGGGGTTAGAGGAAAGTAGAGAATTTAAAAGAAAGTTGTTACGACTTGAAAATACATCTGCATTAATCAATACACCCAGAAGCACTCAGCTGAGGGTACAATTCAGCTGGTGGCAACTGAGATTTAAGTGGAAGTCCCTTCCTCTCAGTCAATAACAAATGTTTCACTTTTTCCTTGATTATGGTCTTGACATCTCTCTCTTTTCTATTGACCTTCCTTGTGATAGTTAAGGTTGTGTGTCAGTTTGGCTGGGCCAGGATTCTCAGTGGTTTGGCAGTTATGATGTAGTCTG